GATCCACTTTGTTGGAGGATTCAGTATTGCCAAGATGTTAGCCCTTCCTGACCTATTCGAGACAGCATCCACCACTGAGCTGTGGAAACTTCCAGGGGCCAGCATTAAAGAGCTTCTCCATGCTTAGTCATAGCCTCTATCGAGGTAGAACAAAAGAATTCTTCCAGCTGTTTGGTAACATGTTGGCCAATCAAAGTCCCATTGGGACTTTTAACAAACATCAACAATATAGTCCAAAATTTTGTATGAAAATATAAAGGAGCCAGAAAAGCCAGATCAATTCTGAAAAAGAATTCAAGCTACCTGATTCCAAAAGTCACTGTAAAATTACAAATACATGCAACTCTATAAAAATATATAGTCTAGACAAACTTGGAACCAAAATTCTACTTATATATAACAATACATAAAATTATATCCTTACAGTTCAATTAAAAAATAACTAAATAAGGGGATAAAATATGGGCCAATTATATGAACCAAAGAAGGTTGGTGATAATGTTGTTCAATGTTATGAATCTATTAAAATGCAAATTCAAACTAGAATAGGAGGGTGGATGCGATGGACCAGCCAGGTAAAGCTATGCAAGCCAGACAACACGAGTTCCATGCCCAGAAGCCATGGTGGAAGGAGAGAAGCCGTTCCTGAAGGCTCTTGTCTGATCCTCGCCACACATGCTGACATGTGCATGCATTTCAGACCTACAAGAATAGCTAAGAGTAACTAAATGATCGTGACTGGCAAGGCTGTAGAGTGGGTAAAACTCAAACGCTACATTGGTGGAAATAGTACACTCACTTTAAGAACAATGTGGTGAGAAATCTTGTAAAATTAACATATGTTCACAGTATAACCCAGGAACCCTCCTGATATGGAACAATCTTTTTGTACACTGTGAAGATGTGTCACTTGGACTGGTTTAATAAAAAGCTGAATGTCCAATAGAGAGGCAGGATTTTCGGAGCAGAGAGGACACGGGGAAGAAGAAGGAAGATGCCAGCAGACACAGACCAAGCAGCATGGGTATTGCAAAGTAACGGTAACCAAGCCACATAAAAGAATATAGATTAAAAGATATGGGTTAATTTAAGTTAATTTAAGAGCTAGTTAGAAACATGACATGGGGACCTATTATTAATTATGAAAAGCTATCGGCCGAGCTTTCATAATTAATAATAGGTCCCCATGTCATTTTTTGCGAGCTGGTGACCCAAAGAAAAGTTCGCCTACACCCTCTGGTTATTTACCAAAACACTAAAAATATACAATAATACAGAGACCCATAGATGACTGTAGCAGACTTATTTACTCATAGTAACCAATAAGTGGAACAACTCAAATGTTCATCATCTAATGGTATATCCAATTCAATGGAATAGTACTCAGCAATAAAAAGGAATGGACTATTGTTACATACAACAATGTGGGTAAATCCCAGATACAACATGCTAAATAAAACAAGCCAGATAAAAGTTTTACAATTTTATGATTCCATACATTTGGAGAGTACAGAATCAGAAGTCAGATCATTGTCACAGGATGGAGATTGGGAAAGAGGACCCATTAGAACCAGATACAAGAGAACTGTTTGAACTACTAGAATAATTCTATATACTTACTGTGGTAGGCTGTGGTATCACATGAATTTATATTATTAAAGTTGGCTTGTGGAATTTTACAGACAAATGGGAGAGATTTTATAGTACAAATTACATGTCAATAAATCTGACTTTTAAAATAGTACAACATAATTACTAGTGTGTTATAGGCCCACAAAGAACAATTATCATTTATTTGTTGTTATTTAGGTTAAATACAATTTCATGAAAAAAAAAAATAGCTAAGAATGCTGTCCTAGCTTGGTGTTGTTGGTTGTTTTTTTACTCTTTGCTCTTTGGAGGTCCAACACCCAGCTCCCCAAAAAATCACACAGAAACTTATTCTTACTTATGAATGCCAGGCCTTAGCTTGGCTTATTTCTAGCCAGCTTTTCTTAAATTATCCCACCTACTTTTTGCCTCTGGGCTTTTCCTTTCTCTATTTCTGTGTATCTTTCTTTCCTTCTTATTCTGTGTCTGGCTGTGTAGCTGGGTGGCTGGCCCCTTGCATGCCCCTCTCCTCCTTTTCTCCATCTTCCTTTCCTACTCTTCTTCTCTTCCTATTTATCCTCTCTG